TGCACATCCTTCTTTTCCTTCTTAGCATCGATCACAAATGCTAGATATGATGTACATCCCTTGGCCAAACATTTTCTGGCTTTCATTGTGGAGATGATTCCAGAACTCACTCGGCGTTTGTCCCCATACACCATAAATGACTCTTTTCCGGGTGGGTTCACCCTTACTATCTTCTTCTTGCAAAGAATCTCAGCATCGTTGGCGCTAAGCCAATCCATTCCCAAAACGATGTCAAAACTGTTCAACTCTATGGGTAATAGCTCCTCGTGGAATTCGTTTCCGTTTAGGTTAATAACGATGTTCCTAATACGATCACTAACAGGTACGAACTTGCCACTAGCAACCTCGACTATTAAAGCATTATCTAGTCTATCGATAGGCAAGGCTAGTTTTCTACCAAATTCATGCGAAATAAAGGAGTAGTTGGCTCTGGAATCAAACAAAATTTGGGCAGGCAATTCGTTTACGAGAAAAGTACCTGAAGCGACATCCACTTCCTCCTTTGCAGCTTCAAGTGTCATTTGGAAAGCTCTGGCTTTTGGCTTTGGTGGGAGATTGGGCCTTGCTTCTCCTTTCTTCTTTGGGAGTCCCTTGAGATGTGCCCTTCCTCACCACACCCATAGCAAACTTTTTTGATGAGGGTGCATTCATTGGCATAATGACTAGGCTTTCCACATTTAAAACATGTAACCTCTTCGCCACATTTCCCAGCATGCTTCTTCTTACACTTGTCGCACCATTTTGCTTCTCCTCCTCCTCCTCTCGAACCAGACTTTGAGAATTTACGTTTCTTGTTGGGCCTTAAAGGTCCCTCAAACTTCCTCTTCTCACCAACATCTGTCCTTTCCAGACCCTTTTCCCTAATCTGGGTCTCGACATTCTTAGTAGCCCAGATGGCGGCTTTCAATGTGGTTGCTTGCTTAACCATTGGACCAAAATCCACTGGTAAACCTTGTGCAAACTTATTGACCTTAGAGAGTTCAGTTGGAACTAAGTATGGAATAAGCTTCATCTTTTCAGTGAAACTAGCAGCGTATTCAGTAACGCTCATTTTTCCTTTCTTCAAATTCTGAAACTCATTATTGATTTCCAGAAGATCCTGCTCAGAGCAGTATTGCAATTTCAGTTGTACCACAAAATCTTCCCAAGACATCTTACTAGCTTATCCCTTTGGCATCGAATTAGCTAGTAACTTCCACCAGCTTAATACACCAGATTTCAACAGAGGAATTGCAAGTGCGGTCTTCTGTTTGTTGCTGCACTCACAACTTTCAAACATTGTCTCCATTTCGGAGATCCAATTTATAACTTCCACTGGCGTTGGACTTCCGGATAGACACGGTGGTTTGGATGCCATGAAATCTTTGTATTTGCATCCATGTCCATCACCTCCTCCATTCTGGTTGTTTCGTCTAACTATCGGTGGGTTGGCTTAACCAACAGTCCCACTGTAGTTCCCTCCTACTGATTGCCCTTCACGTAGTTTCTTCCCTATTCTGTTGTAGCAACCTCCTGGTCTCCTCCATCTGACGATCCAACATTGTTTGAATCATCATTTGCACTCCAGCCATCGTTATTGGCTCCAATGTAGCTCCTTCAACAGGTACTTGCTCAAGTACTGGTGGTTAATTTCTATTTCCATTTGCATTCCTAACTCCATTGCGGGTTCTTGCCATCTTGATCTATACACCAAATAAGGTGAATTTAGATCTTTATTCACTATAGACTTTGAAATGTTTACATGCTAGTTCTAATATCGTAATCATACGCTTAGAATCCTACACACATAAGGTTTTCCAGATCCGGTCAGCAACAGACCATAGATCCGAACAAATAATATCATCTATGGCAAACACATAACATTTAGCACATAAAAACATTTTAGGCATCTTTCCTAAGATATACTAGTGCTCACACCTCACAATCATCGCTTAACATTCCGAGTTTAAGTCTAGAAATCCTACAAATTCCGAGTTCGCTTAAACTAATGCTCTGATACCAACTTTGATATCCCCAATTTCACGGCCAGAAAAGATTGATTGTGTTTATGCTTGTTTGAAAATCAGAGTAATATTTTACATAAAAGTGTTGCGGAATTTGTTCCCAAAATAAAAATATGATAAAGATTTATCAAATCATTTCTATAGAAAAGTATTTCATTAAAAGACTCGGGATGTCATGTTCGATACAGATCAAAAGCATAAACAATACATTATAAGCCTTACTGCAGTTATTTACAACTAATGACCTATAATTCAAAAATCCCTCGTCATCATCCAAATTAAGCTCTAGGTCCACTACCTGTAAAACAGAAAGCTGAGTGGGTCAGACTTGGGAGCTTGGTGAGCATATAGGGTTTTCAACCCACAAATAATAATAAATTTAATAATTTCATCGATCAACAATAAATTTATTAATTTTATCAAACCAACAATAACCCTGATTACCCATTCCCGTTATCCTCACTTTACGTCCCTAAACACCTATACCAGGGACCTAGTCTAAGGATTTTATCATCGGGATAGACTTTACTACTAAGGGGATTCCTCAACCATATATGTCCGTAAGGCAACCATGAGGGGATGGAGTACATCGGTGAACATAAAGCCCACAAACACTTACAAATTGCGAGCCTGCTAGCGTTCCACTAAACTATCTAGAAAAGTCTGTGGTCGTCATCCATACTCCGCTAGATGACTGGAACAACAACGACATCGAGGCCTCTCATCATTTTAACCCACATCAACTATTTCGTCTACCCATGTTTGGACGTTCTTTTTATCAAAATTCTTCCTCATACAAAGTCATATTTGGACGTTCTTTTTATCAAAATTCTCGGCTTAATGAATACTATGACTTTTGCTTAGATTGTTAAGGCTAAAAAGCACTTTATCGTAATATTCACTTTTTACGCTCCACGGTGTCGTGTCGGTTCCGTCGCGAAACTTCGACAGGTCATAACTTTTTCGTTATAACTCGGATTTCGGCGTTCTTTATATCTCCGAAATACTTGTTTTGGCCACTACAACTTTCTTAAAAGATATCGGCTTTTTCTAATATTTATTTTCAATGCTTATTTTCATTATTAATTAATTAAATCATAATAATTAAGGAAATAAACATATAATTCACATGATATTCACATAATTCCTCTTTATTACTTCAAAATGAGTTACAAAGGTTGACCTAGACTATTACAACATTATTAATGCTTTTAGCTCAGAAACACGGGTGTTACATATTCGGACGGTCCCTAGTATGTATTTTGTTACGCGCTTGGTCCTGCCAAGTATAAAAATACTATTTTGCCCTTTAATGATTTCTTTTTTAATTTGATTCATTTTTATACAACTATTTATATTGTTATTAACATATAATAAGCCCACCCCCAACATTTTTCAAATTTCTTTCCTTTATCTCCCCCATAACTCATATCTCTTCCCCCTAACCACTAGACGACTTATCGCCAATACAAAACAAAATCACAGACAACAACACAGTTCTAATTACATGACATGAACCTGTTGAATATGAAGCTAAAGAAACAATTTCTATTACCACTAAAACAACCCTAGAAAACAAAAATACGATGTGAAATCCATGTGCCTCTTACAATTACAAATCATTGAATTGTAAATGGTCTATCAAATTCACTACTCACCACAAAAGATTTCAACAAATACAAGCTTACTTTCCAAACATTTTTAAATTGGAAGCTTGTAGATTAGTGCTAGGTGAAAGTAAGAAGACGAAGCCATTGATTACTCAAAGAAAATAAGCACCAAATCACCTTTAAATTTGGTCGATACCCCCCCCCCCCAATCCCCCAAACAGACACACATCGCATCTACCATGGAAGTATCGTAATGTACTCACAGTTCACCAATGAAAATCACCCATCCTTGTTACTTGTTTGGTTTGTCGACAATGGTAGGCCCATAAATCTAAACCCTAGATATAAAAATTGGTGTTTTTTCTCGGTTTTGTAAATACCAGATTAGTAAACAAGCATTAGAAATTGTGTCCTTTCTCGGTTTGCAAATAACTAGATTAGTGAATAAGCACTAGAAATGGTGTTCTGCATCTTGACTAAAAGCTTTAGCGATTTTCATATCCACCACCATTAAACTTCGACATTGATTTAAGATGGGGGTTCCTTACATGCTTACACTAAGGGGGTGGCGGGGCAGTAGATCGACGCTTGTGGTGGGAGCAATAGATGTTGCGGCGGTAGAAGATGTAAACGGATGTGGAAGCTGTGGGTGAACCAAAAAATGTGGGTGATGAAAGTGGGAAGTAAATATAGATTCTTTATATTTAATAATAATATAAATAGGGGAATAAAAATGAATTAAAAAAATAATAAGAAGCAAAATAGTATTTTTATGTGTGAGAGGACCAAGTTCGTGTAATTTAAAAAAAAAAAAAAAAAAAAAAAAAATTTAAACTCAACCTCAAATGCTCCTCATTTTTGAAATATATCTCGTATCATCTTCGTTAAGTTGCTGAGACATAAATGTTGATCCCTCTATTAAAGATAACTTATATAAAAAAATTTAATATTTTCAAAATAATATGATTAGTGTGTAAATATTCAATTTTGAATTAAATAATTAGATGTAAAAAATGGCATTTCTAAATATTTATATGTTAAATATATCTAAAAGTGGCTTTCATATAATTACTCTTATGATTTTATCCTATGCATACATTTTAGTTAAACGATTTAAATTTAAAATCTTATATTGCCATTAATTTGTTAGATAAAGTGTATATATGCAACTTGAAAAACAGAGATTAGTATCTAATTTCTGGTTTGAATCTTTGAGATAACCAGTTAACCAGTGTTACGTGTCAATATCATCACTCCAAACCAATCGTTGATACTTCCGTGTGGTTCATATCCTGTTTCTGTAGGAGACGTGCTCCTACTCGCTTCTATATATCTATCTATATATTCGATCTACACCTAATTCACGATTTCAAAATCCAAATCCAAAATGGGAACGGAAGCTAAACTCACCAATGGAAACACCGTTACCGGAGAACAAACCGGCTCCGCCTTCAAGCTAGTTGGCTTCAACAACTTCATCCGAACAAATCCCATGTCCGACAAATTCTCAGTCAAAAGATTCCACCACATTGAGTTCTGGTGCTCCGACGCCACCAACACCGCCCGACGTTTCTCCTGGGGCCTTGGAATGCCCATCGTTCAGAAATCCGATCTATCAACTGGAAACGCAACTCACGCCTCCTACCTCCTCCGCTCCGGTCAACTCAACTTCCTCTTCACTGCTCCTTATTCCCCCTCCATCTCCTCCGCCGCCACCTCCACCACCGCTTCCATCCCGTCGTTTTCCCACACTGACTGCCGCAACTTCACCGCCTCCCACGGCCTCGCAGTCCGCTCAGTCGCCATTGAAGTCGAAGACGCCGAAATCGCTTTCTCCGTCAGCGTCTCCCACGGCGCTAAACCCTCTTCTTCCCCAATCACCCTTGGAAATAACGACGTCGTACTGTCGGAAGTTAAACTCTACGGCGATGTCGTTTTGCGTTACATAAGCTTCAAGAATCCAAACTTTGATGCCATATCTAACTTCTTGCCCGGGTTTGAACCAGTTGAAAAGACGTCGTCGTTTCCTGACCTTGACTACGGTATCCGCCGTCTTGATCATGCGGTAGGCAACGTCCCGGAACTCGCTCCGGCTGTAGACTACGTCAAATCGTTCACCGGATTCCATGAGTTCGCCGAATTCACGGCGGAGGATGTCGGCACGAGCGAGAGTGGACTCAATTCGGTCGTTTTAGCGTGCAATAGCGAGATGGTTTTGATCCCTATGAATGAGCCGGTGTACGGAACAAAGAGGAAGAGCCAGATTCAGACGTATCTGGAACACAACGAAGGCGCCGGAGTTCAGCATTTGGCGCTGGCAAGTGAGGACATATTTCGGACCTTGAGAGAGATGAGGAAGCGCAGCGGTATTGGTGGTTTTGAGTTTATGCCGTCGCCACCGCCTACTTATTATCGGAATTTGAAGAATAGAGTCGGAGATGTATTGACGGATGAACAGATTAAGGAGTGCGAGGAGTTGGGAATATTAGTCGATAGAGATGATCAGGGGACTCTGCTTCAAATCTTCACCAAACCCGTGGGTGACAGGTATGCCCATATTCACCAATTTC